TTTTTCTTTGACTCTGTCATCTCCTGGTACAGTGATATCAATAAACTGTACACTTTGGCCCTCTACAACTGTGATATCTGGCATGTTGTGTTCCAAATGATGATCTGTTTGTATTTGAAAGTCCCACAAGATCTTCACCACCTCATTTTCGGTAACTTTTTCCACTTTGTGTTCCCATGACTTTTTGGATACGGGTAAGTCATATTTTTTACATAATGACCAGTGGATTAATTTAGCAACTCAGTTGTGTCTAGCTTTGTACTCACTTTGTGCAATTTTGCTGCATTCACATATTAAATGTGAAACAGTTTTGACTTTGTTGTTGCAAAGTCAGCAGCTTGGATTGTCAGTGGATTTTTGTATCTTTGCTTTCATGGCATTCGTTTGTAGTGCTTGGTCTTGAGCAGCCAGTATTAAACCTTCTGTTTCTTTCTTGATGGTTCCAATCTTAAACCATGTCCACGAGTTTTCCAGACAGGTGTTAATCCAGCTGTGGAGTAATGAGTCGAATGCCTTCTTGTAATCAATGCATGCCATATTTAAATTTGTTTTTCTTTGTTTTGCATTTTTTTAGTTCCATTTTGTCAATGAGCAGCTGATTTTTTGTTCCTCTTGATTTTTTATAATTTCCTTTTTGTTCTACTGGATACAAACTGTTTGCCATCAGATGATTGAATACCTAATTTGCCAGTATTATTGTAAAAAGTTTGAACGTTGTTGGCAGACAATTAATTGAGAGATAGTTGCTTGGTTCTGTGCCCTTTTCTGGATCTTTCATTATCAAGTATGTTCGACCAGCTGTTAACCATTCTTCACTTGTTGTATTTTGAAGCATTTGATCAAATTGAGGGGCCATGCGATGATGGAAGCTGATCAGGTGTTTCCATGCAGTTCGTCCAGGCCAGGTGCACTCCAGTTCTTCACCTTCTTTGCTTGTTTTGCAACCATGTCAGTTTATATTATATTTCCCATTTTGTTTCGTGTTGTTTGTTGTTGAATAGCTTTGATCCAGGAGGCAGTTTTGTTGTGTTCCACTGGGTTTTCCCACAGTTCTTTCCAAAAGTTCTAAGTTTTTTCTTTACCTGGATGAACATTAGTTTTCATCAAGGGATCGATAAAAGAAGTGTTGGTTTCTTCTGAACTGGACATTTTCATGATATTGTTTTATTTGTTCTTCCTATCTTTCAATTTTGTTGTTGTTGCTATTACACATTGCTTTAGTTTTTCCATGATTTCCGTTATTGTTTTTTCCTCCAGGTTGTATTTTTTGTGTAAACAATTTTTCAGCTTTTTGTTCTTTAGTTTTCCTCCTTTCAAATACTTCAGATTGCTGACATCCCCTTGTAGTTTTTTAAATTTTATTTTCAAGTCAAATTTTCCACTTTGGTGTTCCAGTGGGTTTCTTTTTTGACTTTTTATAATCCAATTCTGCAGTTATAATGGTGGCTGTGCTATACACTAGTTGATTGCTTTCATATAGTGTGCTGGATAATTATAATTATTATTATAAATTATTCTATTCTTAAAAAATCTGAGATCTGTCCATGCAGTCCTCAAAATTCAAGGAAGCCTCCTTGCTCCCTTATCATTTTTGATATTTTTTGAAATTGAATAAAGAGGTTGCAAAATATTAACAGCAGCTGTTTAAGCTGCTAAGTATAAATACAAAACAGACAAGCATAAAGATAATCTCTGCAACCTTGAGCAGAAAAGCCAGACTGATCCTTCTGGGGAGAGCTTCTCCCCAGTCCCCAAAGGCCTTCCTTCCTGGCCCCATGGCCTGAGGCCGAGAAAACTGGCCCTGGAGCCATTCAGGAGGGGCAGAAAGCACCAGTTACCCAGAAGGGCTACTCTCACACTTACTCTTTCACTGAAGCTGGGGCATTTTCTGAAGTACCGGTGGTTGGAATAGGAGTGAAGCCAGGGGGTGGTTTACTAGGAGGCACCGACAGCCCAGGAGGGGGTGGGGGGCTATTAAGTAGCACCACAGAATTGAAACCTAGAAAACAGGAGGAAGTGAGACAGCAGTTAGAGCAGGCACTGACAGCCCCCGCAGGTCCCTGTTGTTAACCACTCTCGCTCTTGTTGCGTCTCCCCCCCCCCCCCCAATCCCTATCCCAATCCCATAAATCCAGTAAAGATTTTGTAAAGCAAAGAGGTGTAAGAAGCACATGCAATTCAGTGGTGGACAATGTCTGAGCTGAGATCCCAGAGTGGCTCCTGATAAAAAGATCCCAGGCGGAGGATCTGGAGGAGCAGAGGACCCGGAGTGAAGGGTCACAGCCTGGCCCAGCAGCTGCAGCCACTCCATGCCTGACCACTCTCAATGAGGAGAGTCGAGGAAAGGCCCAAATGTCCTCAACCCATCTTGCTTCCCAAAGCCAAATTCAACTGCCACGTTTTGCCCTCTTACAGCTCCCACCAGGCCCTTCCCCAAACCTAGGACCGAGGAGCACCCACAGCCCTTACCTGGGGGTGGAGGCATGCGAGGTGGCCCGGTGTTCCCAAGGGCTGGAAAGTCTTCCTGAGGCAACAGGCACTGGCCACCTCCGGAGGGCTTCTTAAGGCCAGGAGGCTCTTTGGGAGCCCTGCAGGGCAGCGGGGGCTTTTCTGAGTGACCGTTTACCAGAGTCGCAGATGTGCTGAGAAGGTCAGGACCGGCAGTGACGGGCGAGGACTGCTCAGCATCGTCTACCTTCTCGAGAGAGTGGGGGGCAGCTGGCACTTCCTGCAAGACTGTTCTCAGCTTCTCAGTCCCAACTTTCTTCTTCTTACCCACTTTGGCAAAAGTCTGAGAGTTGGAAGCTGCCAGCAAGGAGGAGACATCCACCATGGTTGGCGCACTACGGATCTCCTGGGTGGAAACGCTGCCGCTGCCGTCCTGAAAGTTACCAGGGATTGCCACTTTGCTCTTTTTGCTGGCTTTGCTGCTGCCGGGAGGGGGCCCTTTTCTGGCCGGCTGGCTGGCTGTGGCCGTCATTGCTCGGGCCATGTTCTTACTGGAGCCACCACTCCAGGCTGAGGCGAGGGTTGACACCGTCTTACTGCTCGGTCGTACTTTAGAGACCAAGGCAGGGAAGTCTTCCTCCTGAAATCCCGTCTTTTGGGCTGTAGCCATGTATGACAAGGGCAGAGAGGCAGAGACCACAGGCGGAGCAGAAGAGAAGGAAAGCCTGGGAAAGTCCTCTTCATCAAGCTTTACTGGCGCCAACTGAGATGAGCTGAAAGAGAAAGCACCGATGCAGGACAACCCCTCCCTCTGCACTCCTGAGGCAAAGGGCCCGGTTGGGGGGAGAGGAGAGAGGGGGCTCAGAGGGTAGAGAGCAGAAGGGCAGCCTAGAGCCAAGGACATTGATGGAAGGTTTCAAGGCAAACACTCCATGGGGGCTTTAAAAAGACACAATTGTTCAGAGGACAGCAATTTTAGCCTCTGGGGCAGCTCTGAAAGCACGAGAGGCCGAGTACTTTCCCCCGCGGGAGAAGCAGCAGCAGCCTCACCATCGCTGGCAAGGCTAGAGCCACTGACCTTTGCCTCCCAATTCAGATCTGAAGCTTCAAGCTGTGAGGACCAAGCAAAGGACCATCACAACCGGAGAAGGGAGAGGAGTCTTGAAGTGGCCTCTGAAGACCGGAGTCTGACCCCTTTCTGCAAGGCCTTGCTCACATCTGTTGGGGAGAATCCCTGATCTTGTGGCCAGTTTATTTCTCCACGCTACCAAAGACTTACCTTGGCACAGAATTCATGTTTGGCGAGCCAATGGCAGGAAAGTCATCTTGGCTTAAGGCAGCCTTGGGAACCGCTTCCTTAGGAACTTGGGAAAAACAGAGAACACAATTTAACCAAAAGGCTACCGAGAACTCCAGCAAGACGGCAAGGCCATCACCTCGCCAACACGGAGAAGCCCAATGTCTGAGACAAAGCCCAGCGCGGATTTTGGGGGCGGAGCGAGGACTCACCTGGTTCTTCGGATGAAGGCTTCACCCCTCGCTTAGAGACTGTTGGCTCAGGATCTTTGGCATCTTCCTTCTTGGGGCGACAGCTGTCCCCTTTATCCTCCACCCTGTTTTTCTCTTCTTGCCTTTTGGCAGCTACTGAGGCCCGAACAGCTGCGGCAACATCCCGGTCTTCTTCTTCTCTGCAGAATTTTTCAAGCAAAACCAAGAGAGGTCAGAGAGGCATTTCCCATACTTCCCAGGAGGGGGACAAGCAATGCTAAGATATTGTGGGCAAGATGCAGGAAAGGCAGCCTGTTATGCGGAAGGAAGGGAGTGGATAACACCAAGAAGAAATTATGAACCCAGACATCTCCCCATCTTTGAATCCAGCTGGGAGACCTGACAACCGGATCCAATTGCTGCCCCCTCTAACAGGCAAAAGAAAAACGCCCTTTCTATCAACTTCTCATTACCTCTGGGACACAGATCAGCAGGCGCACCCCCATAATGAACCCTTTGCACAGAGAGTGAAATGAGTCTCCACAACATCCTCTGGCCAGAAGCCGTTCTATAATATCTACCACTAGGGATCCCCCAGTCACCATGGAAAGCTGCTGTGGCCACATGCACCTGAAATGCAGGCTCAAGCCCAGCCCAAACTCCAAGGACTGGGGGAGGGTGGATAGGAAGGAGCTGTGATGATGACCCTGAAGCTGATTCTGCTGGCAGTTCTCCAGAGTGACTCAATCCAGCTGCTTAGATGAGCAGGAGCCTGATCCCAGGGGACTACAGTCCCATAGCATGCTCCTCTCTGCATGGAGCGTAGCAAAGGCCCTTCATAGGTCTCACCTGACAGGGTCAGTCCTGGCCCAGCAACAGCTGCCCAGCAATAGCCCACTAAAAACAACTATCTCATTTAGATTGTGTGCCTGCACCTGTCACTCTCATCCTGGACCAGTTGTCACAAGAAACCCTAACCCTCCCCCCACATCCCATCAACCTTTATCTAGCACCCGTTTAGCCTTGGCCATTGGTTGACTAAATTCTTGTGAACAAGAACAAGAAGCAAACAAGAAGAGCTAGCCAAAACATGGGCAACTGTGCAGGCAGAAGCTACGGGTGGCTTTTCCTGGGCAAAGGCTGCAGAGCCCAGAAGTAGCAGGCAGAACATCAGGCTCAGGGCAGGTTTTGCTCCGAATATGGCCAGAAGCTGGAAGGGGAAACTCATTTAAAGCAGGTTTTCCATTAAAGCAAACATTGCTGTAGGTTAACATGGAGCACAAGGCAAAAACAAAAAAGGATAAAATGTATGATGCCATGAGAAGTGAGAAGGGTTTACTGCAAGCTTCTTCTATGCTGGCCTCTCTGTGCAGCTCCTGGCCTGGCTCCGAGGGCCTCCTGAAGGCCAGCAGGTCCTTCCCAGTCCCGGCCCACCTGAAGGAAAGCCCCCAAACAATCACCACTGCTCTTACCTCTTGTATCGCCAGCTGCCTCTCCTGTTCTGCTGCCCACCTCGGGATCCTGACCTGCTTCCTCTCATCTGCCTGTTATATCGATCAACTTCATCGTAGTCTTCACCACTCACAACCCCTGGAACATAAACACAACAGTAAAACCATCTCAAAAAAGAAAGCTGGATTCTGGGCTTGCCCTACACGCAAATCAAATGAGTTAACATATTGTCTTTATTCTAGTCGGAGGGTTAGCGCAGGAGATATCGGCATCCTGGCACCCCCAATATCACCAGGCAAACCCTTCATCCCATCAGGATGGAAACAGGAACTTTTGGAATACTACAGACTGGGTTCCACTTATGACCATTTGTTTAGTGCTGGTTCAAAGCCATGAGGGCCCTGGAAAAATACGCCTTTCGGTCTGAACTTGCATACAGGACAGCTCTGGAATGCCAGGATCGCACATCCAGTTGCAGCACGATTGCAACTTGCAACTTTTTTTTGCTGATCTCTGGCATAAAACTCATTGGGGAAGCTGGATATGCTTAACAATGACAAGATTCACTTACTAATGGCCATAAACATTGTCATAAAATTGGTTCCCACTAGTGACCACAACTACTTATGATGGGAATTCTGATCCCAACTGTGGTCATAAGTGGAGGACTTATGAGCAAAGATTTGGGGGGGAAATGGCATTTTTCACTACTATGAGAAAGTAGAGTTCTCGAGGGAATGGTGAGAGAGTAAAGAGCCCACCAGAAAAACCATGATGCCCAGCCGTGCCCAAAGGGACCCTTCCGCCAGAGACTCCCTGCCCTCCCTCCCTCCCGGCCTACCCTCGTTTCTCCGCTGGTGTCTCGGGGCATAGTTGAACTGCAGGTCAATCTGCCGATTCTGCCTGGCTTCAGCCCGGTTTTTGCTGTGACAAGCTGTCTTGTGGGCTTTGTAGTCGATTTCAGTCCGAAAGGCATGGGTGAACTGCTCAGTGCTGCACCGACCTTCTTCGCAGAGGAAGTGCTTCTCCCGGAAGTGTTCACGGAGGTACTCATAATCACTGCGAGAGAGAGATACAGCCCATGGGTGCTTGTGGGCTCCTCCACACTGGTCTTAGATGGAGGCAGTGATAGAAAGGGAGATCACCCTGAAGTTATTCCACTGTGCCAGTTTCTGAAACCATCTTGCAACCTCAGGAATGTATTTTCAGTACAAATCTTAAAATGCTCGCCTTTTCATAGGTATTTTTTTACCACAGAAGACAGGTAGTCCAACCCCAACCTCCCTCCTATGCAGGATCTGCTAAATCCACAGACTACACCTATGGTGCATAAAGCTTCCTAAAGTGCTCCTCATAGGCCCAGTTTTCCAGTCACCTTCGGAGAAGCCCTTCTCTCAACTTGCTCGTTTGTCAGCTCTGAAAGACAGACCAGGCACAGAATTCCACGGGGAAACTGAGGGAGAGCAGCAGAGTCCAGAAGAACAACTGCTTCCCATTACAGTGGAATCTCCGGTTAACGACCGTAATCAGTTTCAGGACTTTGGTCGCAACCCGATTTGATTGTGACTGGAAACAAGATTGGCTGCGCATACGTGTACAAAAAAATAATAATGGTGCAGCAGGGGAAATTGCTGCGGTGGTGTTTGATCGCCACCCAATGATGTGTTTGCAACCAGTGAAACATTTAGCAAATTTTTGGGTTGGCAGCCGATTTGGTCATGGTCAGAAGCATTTGTGACCGGAGGTTCTACTGCATCCAGATTCTAAATTTCTGTTAATACAGAATCTCAAGGCAGCCACACCACACCACTGCCTCTCCTTCAACCTGTGATCTGGTAGGACATCCAAATCCTTTTCCTGTGAATCTATAGTCTTCAATTATTTCCACAATAATAAAATAGCATTATAATGGCACGTTATATATTCTGTTTCCTGTAAACTTCTGCTTATTACCGTCTTTCTCCAAAAAGACCACCCACCTTGAAAAGAAGCCCTATCACAATTTTGAGCACATGTGATCAAATTAAGCCCCACCCACAAAATTAGCCCTAATTAAGACCCCCCCCCCCCCCGGGTGCAGGGGTGGGGCGAGGCACATAGGTAGAAAATAAGCTAAGGTGGGGGTGGGGGGTTGGAGCTGCCCTCCTTACCAGGCCTCACACACCAACTCCTGCCTTACCTTCTTCTGTGGCCACTTGCCGCCACTCGCATGCATTATCCTGGCCTCCGTTTCGGCTTCCAATGCCTGC